TGACGTTTCTTTGTATTCAAATGGAATCATTGGACAATGATTAGATAAATTAATTGTTTGTGGAATACAGTTTTCATTTTTATTGAGCAGATTGCTGTGGCATAAGGATATGTCCTCGATTTTATAGCAGTTTTCCTTTAGGTTAAAGAAATCGTCTATTGATTTCAAAAGATGGGGATTATTTATAACGGATATTTTATTATTAATGGGTACGGGGTATCTTCGGTAGAGATCATAAGGTTTGTTAAAAATATTTGGTATGACTACTTAAGATATAATAAGGTCATTTTTTATCGTAACGTCAGCGTGCGCCATTTTGTACTATTTAATTATATTATCAAAAGGAATTCGTGTTTTTGGGTCAAGTTTAGAGATAATACTCTTAAGTTCTTTATATTGAAAAATGTTGTGGAGCTTTACATTTATTTGTCTATGTCCTTTGTGAGCCGTTTGGGTAGGATTTCTTGATTTTCTTGAAGAGTTTTAATATGTTGGTCGTATCTTTGACCATCATCTGAGTCTAGAGTTCCAAATAAATAGTTTTGTGTCTTTCCAAATAAATTAAAGAGTCCTCTTTTAATTCTTTTTAATGTAGTGGTATAATGATTCATAAAGGCTTTAATAGATTTCGGTTGGTCAATAAGATCTAGGGTTCGAGTTATTAATAAGTAAGTGACTTAAGGGCATATTTAAATTATCTAAGGTAACTTTAATTCGTAAAAGCGTTGATTTCGCTAATTTTAAACAATCCCGTAAGTTAGTCAAATTAACATGATAGTAGAAATGATGAAAGTTTGTTACAACCTAATTGTTTCCTTGACGTACTGGTAGCAGGGGGTTTGTTATATCTTCGATTTTATATTGGACACTTACGATTAGCGGCAGCACGAAAATGGCAATCTTCATTCTTATTCCTAAAAATTATAAATGTCTTTTAACATTTATATTTTGGGTTGTACTTTTTCTGTTAACTTCCGAGGTGTGTTTGTTAGTTGATTAGTATCTTCGGGTATTTATGCATTAAATTTTAAATTTATTTTTTCATTAGTATACCCATGGGAAGCATGTATATTATTATTATAATTTAATATTGCGATATCCATTAGCTCTTGGATCGTTTTAGTACGATGTTCATTTTTTAGAGCAACAAGACTTTCCTTAAGGGTAGAATGGAATATTTTGACTGGTGAGTTTGAATTTGGATTGTACGGTGTAATGAAATGTAACTCGATTCGATACGTTTTACACAAGTCTTGTACTGGGTTACTTTCAAAACTTTGTGCGTTATCTGTAGTAATTTTGCTTGGGGTTAAGGAATTCGTATTTTTGGGTCAAGTTTAGAGATAATACTCTTAAGTTCTTTATATTGAAAAATGTTGTGGGGCTTTACATTTATTTCTCTATGTCCTTTGTGAGCCGTTTGGGTAGGATTTGTTGATTTTCTTGAAGAGTTTTAATATGTTGGTCGTATCTTTGTGTGTTTTTCCGTCTTTTTGTGTCTTTCCAAATAAATTAAAGAGTCCTCTTTTAATTCTTTTTAATGTAGTGGTATAATGATTCATAAAGGCTTTAATAGATTTCGCTTGGTCAATAAGATCGAGGGTCCGAGTTATTAATAAGTAAGTGACTTAAGGGCATATTTAAATTATCTAAGGTAACTTTAATTCGTAAAAGCGTTGATTTCGCTAATTTTAAACAATCCCGTAAGTTAGTCAAATTAACATGATAGTAGAAATGATGAAAGTTTGTTACAACCTAATTGTTTCCTTGACGTACTGGTAGCAGGGGGTTTGTTATATCTTCGATTTTATATTGGACACTTACGATTAGCGGCAGCACGAAAATGGCAATCTTCATTCTTATTCCTAAAAATTATAAATGTCTTTTAACATTTATATTTTGGGTTGTACTTTTTGTGTTAACTTCCGAGGTGTGTTTGTTAGTTGATTAGTATCTTCGGGTATTTATGCATTAAATTTTAAATTTATTTTTTCATTAGTATACCCATGGGAAGCATGTATACTATTATTATAATTTAATATTGCGATATCCATTAGCTCTTGGATCGTTTTAGTACGATGTTCATTTTTTAGAGCAACAAGACTTTCCTTAAGGGTAGAATGGAATATTTTGACTGGTGAGTTTGAATTTGGATTGTACGGTGTAATGAAATGTAACTCGATTCGATACGTTTTACACAAGTCTTGTACTGAGTTACTTTTAAAACTTTGTGCGTTATCTGTAGTAATTTTGCTTGGGGTTAAGCTTTGACAAATTTCGAGAAGTTTAGCGTTTTGATCGATAAGGTGTTGTAGGTTGTTAAATTTTTGTTTAAAATCTAAAGCAATGCCCTGTTCCATTTTTAAGTCGGAAGCGACACAGTGCGTAAAGAATAATTTTATTGATCAGAATCAGAAAGATTTGCTTGAATTTCATTAATTATCGCCGAGTGTTCGATTGGTTTTCAATTTTGTTCAAATTTTTCAAATTCAATCAGAGCTTTTTGCGGTTTTTCAGACAGATTTTCCTGTGATTCGAAGAAGTGTATAATTTTTTCGTACCATAAATATGGGTCATTTTTTCCCTCGTTTTCTTCACATACAGCTGAAATATGTGTTAGTGGGGATTTTACTAGGTCTACAGGGTGTATTTCTTTTGGTGGTCGTAAGAAGGCGTCAGCGTTGACATTCTGTTTGCCTTTTTTATAATGAATTGCGTATTAATATTCCCGAAGTTCTAGTTTCCACCTGACTAATTTTGAATTAAGTACTTTAATGGAGAAGATCTATTGTAAATGTTTATGATCCGTTACTATAGTGAATTTTCTACCAAATAGATAAGGTAGAAAGTAATTTTAGCAAAATTTTATATGAATTTTCTATTATATCCGACAAGACCAAGGATTTAATTTCTTTAGGAGTGTTGGGAATTTTAAAATATTTAAGGGCTTCTGTTTTCTGTAGGAATTCAGACTTATCCAATTGTATCTTCATATTGAAGGATGCAACTGGTTCAAAGACTAATTTTAATGAGTCCATGTGTTCCTGAAGACTGGTCGAGTATATAATGATGTCGTCCATATACCCAAGACATATTTTTCCTTGTAATCCACAGAATACATTGTCCACTGCGCGCTGAACTGTAGAGGGCGGGTTTTTAAGACCAAATGGAATTCGTTTATATGCGTAATGTCCAAGCTCTGTGTTAAATGCTGCTTAGGGATGCTTTCAGGATCCATTTTGATTTTGTGGTATCCACTGGCGAGATCCAACGTTGTGAAATACAGGCATCGTCCTAGTTTATCCAGTACATCAATCATAGTAGGTATTGGGTATTTATCATCTATAGTCTTCTCATTCAATTTTCTGTAGTCTATGACGAGTCTTCTTGTTTATGAACATACGGATACTTATATGATTTCGCATGTACAGGAATTTCGTCGCTAGTCTTAATTGTATGTTTCACTTGATTTGCAGAGGTTAAAGTATCTCCGGGTGTATGTAAAATATTTTTCAATTTTCTTACGAATTTAAAAAGCTGTTCCTTCTCTTTCGAACATCTATCGTGTCGTATTAAATTTCCAATATTATTTTTTTGAAATGTTCGGTTTTCTATCTATTGAGAACTGGTGTTTCTAAATTAAATAGTTCAAAGTTGTTAAGGTAAGTTGTTATTAACACTACCTTCGATGGCAGTTGATTAGATATATCAATTATTTGTAATCGTAACAAAGGTAGATTGCTTGCAAGTGTTGCTTTTTGTATAGTTTTTGAGGGAATTTCTGCTTTGTAGTCGTCGAAACTTTATCTATATTTCATATTTCTATATTGAAAGCGAATGATGTTATTTTCCTCTCCGAACTGTTCAACATTCTCGTAGTTTGAGTCATAATTATCATAATGATCGTATTCGTTAAGGTCAATTAAGTCGGTTTGGGGTTCGGTACTTCCAGGGTTAATGTCGCTGTTTTTCACGTGCGTTAGTTCTTGGAATGTTAAGTTTGGTTTACCTGTAGCTCGGAAATGATTGTATACTTACACCTAACATTGGATGGGGGTATTGATTTTGATGTGACGTTTGATTAGGTCGTTTGAAAGGTAAATTCGTTTGTCTATAGGGTCGAATTGGTGGGTTGTTGAATATTCTTTGGGTGTTTGACAAAATATGATTGATTTTGTGCATAATTATTTTTAAAGTAACTTTGACTTGTTAACACTTCGTAATTTGATTTGTAATAATGTCAATAGCATTATCTAGAGTTTTGGGATTTTGAACTATAAGTAACGTTCTCAACTCATTGGAAATATTCGTCAAGAGATTTTGTGTTGCGTTAATTCGTTTCGTAATTAATATTACTCTCGCTTCGGCATTTTGCATTTGAGAATATATTTTTGTATTTGTTTTGGTGGCTAAGGCTTTGAGTTTTTGGATATAATCTTGAGTATATTCGTTTTTCCTGGATAAAAATATTATATGTTACTGAAGATTTGCACGAGTGATTGGATCACTGAATTTTTGCATTAAAACTAATCTTATCTCTGCCCAAGTTGTAAGGTTTCGTCGAGTTAATAAAAAATCATCGGCTGTTCCGATTTTTTTTGATTTAATTGTCAAAATAACATATTCTTTTTGCGATACATCGTTGGTAAAATATCTTGCACGGAAAGTGTCGATTTGTTTTATAAAAGAATCCAAACGAGAAGGGTTTTTAGCAAACTAACGGCTAATCTGAAGGCGTCGGCCATTGCACTAATAGTATCAGGTTCTAGACTAATATTTATAGAAGTAGAATTATTTTCGTCTATACAATATAATAGAGAAATATGAAAGTAAAGTTCGTCTATATCTCGCGGTTGATTATTTGTGAAATTATTTCTTCAAGGATAAGTAATATTCGATAGTCTAAATTTCTTCATCAAAATTCGTTCAACAAATTTAAAATTTTCACTTCTTAACTAACAGGAGTCACTACTATAAGGAACACTTCGGTAAAAACTTACAATAAGTTCTTAGTTTCGTTCCTGTATCAACCAACACGTTCGTCGAAGAGATTCACTTTCCAAGTGGTTGTAGTGGACTCTGGGTTAGACCAATTCGTCTCGCTTTCTCTCGAACGGCGTACCGATGGTTGATGGTGCCAGGAATCTCAAATGCTCTGCGTAGTAGATCTGGAATCCTTTTCTTAACGGTTGAAACGGAAGCGTGTAGTACCGTCGATCCAATGCACTAACAATGCACAAGGGTAATTAATCCAGCGCACGAATCACGATCGATTCGCGACGGCAATCCGGAAAGTTTTCCAAAAACACGCAGAAAAGGATCCTACGATTGCGGGAATTTTATTTCAAAATGTGAAACTCGTATTTTTAAAAACGATTTTTATTTATATTACAAGTAACAAACAATATTTACTGACAAAAAGCTACTTAAAGACTGTCTTATCTTAGGAATAATGCTCGTATTTATATAATTACAGTTGCTGAATAATCATATATTTCGCGATACTATTCTTTATTAAACATATTGTGATGGAGTTAAATTTGTGTTGCGTTTTTTGAAATTGCAATTTAATATTCGTGTAAGGTGTTATTAAACATCCCTTGTTAAAGTCAAGATTTGCTTGTAAAAGTTTAAGATTGTCGGGACCTTAAAGATGCTGATTTTTGAAATATAGTAGATACTGTATGACTTTCTGGGAAAATAATATATGAGAGCTCGCTTGGATTTGACATATTAAAAGATATAATTTGGGGTGTTACGTGTTATGATTGTTCGGAGGCATTTCCCGAAAATGTTCGTTTTCAGGTTGCTCATAGGATGCATTATTTGGATAATGATGGTCATAGTTAGGTGTATCCTGGTTGTATTGATTATGGTTATATAAAATTTGGTTGGTTTCGTTTTCAGTATCGACATTATAAACTTCTTCTATCCTAAACTTTGGTGGATTGTAATGTTGTTTTGAAGTACTAGGTAATGGTTTAAATGTTGTTGACTTTATTCCCGACATAAGTGTGTGTGGTGGAAAGTGTTTTTGTTGATTGGGTTTAAACACATTTATCTGATTATTACGTTTACCGAATACTTGAGGATTAGTAAAATATTTTTATGGAGTTGTATTAAAATTGAGTCTTATATTTATGGGCTGCTAAGGAAATTTAGGTTTAAATATATCATGCGGTGTGCGCAAAACTTGGTGGTCTAGAAAAACCATACGGGTTTTGAGCCCTGACATTTTGTAGTCTGAGCATACCGTGATTTGGCTGGAATGAATGCATTGGAAAATGTGTTTGAATTCGTTTAAAACTGGGAAAATTTCTATCAAAAGGAGCTTGTTTCCTATTGGTTTTGAAAATAGTGAAGGTCAAATTCTTGGGTTAAAAATTGCAAAGTGTCGAGATTGGAACGTAACATGATATCATAAAAATGATCTATTGTCGATTGACATGTTGCTAAATAACTATTCAAAATTTGGTACGCAATTTAAATATTCAGGTTTGAAATAAGGCATTTTATTTGTATCAGAAAATATATCAATTGAATGGTTTGTTTGATCTTTAAATAATGTTTCTGGATTTGAAGCAGAGTCAATTGAAGGTCTACTTAGAGGTAAATTGGCTAATTCGGAAATTATATCATCGTCATTAAATTATCAATTACACTTACGATAAGATCAATAAGTTAACTCTGGTCATGCTTCTTTATAAGGATTCGACTTCTGGAGATAGATTGTGAAGATAGCTAATGCTGGTCCTAGCTTCCGTTGATTGTAATCCACAGATCTTCGATAGATTGGAAGATTTGTGATGTTTGAAAAAACTCCACACTGCTTCAAACAGATCCACTAGTGTCACAAAAGTTCTTTTTTTCGGGTTAATTAGATTGAAACAAAACAAATCGAATACGTTCGATACGTAGAGATTCCCGAAAATCGTTCCGACTGCGCCAATTAACTAGACCGTGGTTGACGATTTTAAAAAAATAACTTTATTTTCGAATTACATGTTTACAACATAAATATTTTCAACTGACTATCCGCTGCGCATCTTTCCCATCGTTATATGTTGCGTGTCTTGCTCACTCAGCAGGTTCTCAGGGCGTATTGTAACATAACTCGTTACTATTCAATTTCTACGATACCCTTACCGCCGACTAACTAAAATAAGCGCAACAACGAAGACCAATGTTTTAGGTTAACGAGAGCCAGCCGTTGCTCAGCAATGTTTACGTGCGTTTCATGGAGGAAGATGATCCTTTCTATTTGGGGGTTGCGATGGAAAATGTCGGATGGTTTTCCAGACTGTTTTTCCTGTGGGTCACCCCTTTGATGCAAAAGGGAGTTAACGATAAGCTGACGAGTTCGGACGATTTGTACGATCTCCCTGTTGACTTGAGTTGCGCGGTGGTCGGGTGGGAACTGGACAATGCGGTACGAAATGTGAAGCTGCAAAGCGCACTACATAGTTCTGGTATGTTAATAATAATAATAATAATAATTCTATACAACTGATACATAGAAAAATTCAAATTATACTCGTATTTGATACGCCTTGATTTTCTTCTTCTATAAATTTAAAGAAGTTGCATATCATCAGTTGAAATGCATTGATTTAAAGAGAAGAGGAAAAATCTGTCCTAAAAGTCTATACAGGGTGTTTGTGCAAGGGCAACGAGGAAAAAGGAAAACTTGAAAACAAAAATTGAGCAAATCGACCATGAGAGTGCTGGAAATTATTTTTGAAGTTTTAAGTGGCCCCCAGAGGGCGTAATTGCCATCTTGAATTTTAAAACCCGTCTTTAATGATACTTGGAGTGAACACAGTGTTAAAGTTGAGACAAATTGAAATCTTTTTACTCTATCTCTAGTAAAGCGCCTCTTATCTTTTTGCTCTGACGACTAAAAAATGTAATTAGAAAAGAATACCTTGTCTGGAGCTACTACGCCCTTTTTATTTCAGTTTTGGCGAATGTTGTTATACTGAGAAACTCAACAGACTCCATAAAAAGTTTTCGTATGCAAAAATGGGCGGGATATTGTCAACCTCGGTTTTAGAACCTTAGGGTTATGCTACTGCTGTCGGTATACAATTATCACGCATTCATAACTCGAAAAATCTGTTACCTCCTTAAATTTGCTTCGCACTGGGAAGTTTAAATACACTAAAGGCGTGAAAATTTCTCTTAACCTATGCTTATATAACAAAATTCCAAATCAGGTCATGAATTTGCCATTAAAAAATTTGAATGTCAAAATAAAACGATTTTTTCTGGAACATTGTTTTTATTCTGTTTTCAAGTTATAAAGGAAATTGTCCGATTCCTGATAGTGCCCACCTATTAATGCGTTTGTTTCTTTTGTACGTATGTATTACGTTTTTATACCTATTTATTGTAAATTTCATCTGATCGTTATTTCTTTTTCTTGGAAATGTTGTAAATATACTTCTATCTAAAATATATCTAAAATCCCCACAATCGTACGATTTCTCCCAAATCCGTCCGGTAATATTTCGGAAATGTCCAAAGTAGCTCGGATCCGTATTAATCGAAACGGTGAACTAACACTTTCCGCACCCTAGATCGATGTAAATTTGAAAATTTTACAGAAAAATTGATAGAAATTATTCAGTCGTAATTATCTAGATTGTCATAAAAACAGATGGTCAGAGTTTAAATTTATCTTATCTTATATTTAAAATGTCTTATTCGACTGCCGAAGCATACGATATGTTGGTTGTGTTTTCCCAGTGTTTAGTCATTTAAGTAAATTTTTGCCGGAAACAGGACGAGTTCAGCCTAATCCTAATGGCTAGAAGCCTAGAAAAAGCCACTTTAACGAGAGATAGAGTAAAGAGTACCTCAGAACCTTTTATCTTGGCCAATAAACTCAATATTTTTTTTTGTTTCTTGTTTAGGAAGATTCGTTTATTCAATATCGAACTTCGTTGCCATCACCAAGGCACACAAAAGATTAGATTCATAGTGGCTCGATGCCTTGTTGCGTTTTGGCACAAAATATTAATGATTCCTTCGAGTATTTTATTTAGGATCATAAAAATTTAAAAAATATATACTGCTCTCGTATACAAGGTATTCTAAAATTATTGTAAGATTTTCAGTCTAAGTCTAAAATAGACCCGAGTTTCCTTTTAATAAGCAAATTGCGAAAAACGCCGAAAAACAACTATTTTCCTAATGAGCATAGTTTTTAATATATATTTTCGTAATGGTTTCAGCTATGTCTTTAAAGTTTTGGTTGCTCTTCCTATTAATGTTTTGCCGTTACTGAATTTAATCTTTTAAATTTTGTTAATGATAAAGAACATAAGTTTATAACCGCAATACATTGATCCAATTATATTTGGTATTAGAATAATAAACAAAATAATTAATTTTATATGTTTTGCGTTTATTGTTTGCTCAATTATTCTTTCAATTCACTGATGTCTTAATCTATAACGTATAATTTAATAAAATATTCATGACGAGCATTTATGACTTTTATCTACGGGGTGCATCAACACTAAAGTAAAGTTCATTATCTCATTAGTTTCCAAAGTTACGAGAAATCCCCTATCTTTAAATTTTGTTTTGAATTCTAAGCCTGATAGTTTTTCTAATATTTTCATTTTTCTAAGAAAATACTAGTTTTGGTTAGTTTTTTGACACTTGCAAAACAATTGTAATGGCGCCACCATTTTTATTTAATATAAGGGTTATTCGAAAGGCTGTTCAAAATAAACAAATCTATTTATAACATTTTTAATTGAAGAAATTCAATTTTCTTAAATAGCACTACTTATATATTGTTTTGTTTTGAAAGACCTTCCACAAACCTACATCTTCTGTTAGGTATGTTATATACCTATTTTTAATAGTTTGCGATTTGTCATAACTTATCCAATATTAACCCTTCTTTCTGTCTAAGAGTATTGCTATAATATTAGTTGGCCATGACTAACCAAAACTATTAACCAACAAAGCTTTGTTAATATTAAACAGGAGATAAAACTTTGTTGGAGTCATAGATAATGCAATAGATAGTTGTAAGCAATTTTTGTGAAAATAACGGGCAAATTTTAAATTTACAGAAAAATTGGTCATTACTACAAATTAACTTATCTTATTTGTAAATATTATTTTGCCACAATAAATTTTGAAGGATATGTTTTTTTTTTTACATTCATTAGCATAAACGGTAACACCGTGCTCTTGCACGAGTCCCCAATCCTATTTTCCATATCTTCCGATGTTGCAGTGCAGATTCACATAAACACGATCTTTACCATATCCCCACAAAAAGAAATGCAGTGGTGTTAGCGATCGAGGCGAGAAGCTCCACCTTGATGAAACCACATCTGTTGGACCGCAAAGTTGCCGCAAAAAAATGCGGTCCAATAACTTTGAATTGTTTTATACCACACCACACTTTATGTGACCAATGGCTTTTTTGGCACTTTCCGTACCCAGGAAGAATTGAGTAATAATGCATGTTATGACGATTATGACCATTACTGCAAGAAGTAGCTTCATCGGAAGACTTAATTTACTGACACAACTATAAATTTTATGAATTTATTTACTCAGTTATCAGGTAAAAATTTGTCATTGTCATTTCGTCATGGTAACTAATAGTCTTAGACACAAAGGAGGGTTATTATTCGAAAAGTTGAGATAAATAGCAAAGTACTAAAAATAGTTATGACATTCTAAATAAAAGTTGTAAGATCTTTCAGCAAAAATAATAATATATGTGGTGTGGCATTTTTAGAAAATCGAGATTTTTCACTTTAAAAAAATATACATTCGTTTATTTTAAACACCCTGTAGCATGTTTTGTGTCATTTCATATGTGAGTGATCTGAAAATAATGGCGTTATCGTAATTTTTTGTGTGAAGACTAGTATGTTTTTAGAAAAATTAAAAAATTGGTAGCTTTAGGTATGTATTATTATTAATAAACAAGTTGAAGAATTTGAAAAGGAATTCGAACCAAATTTACAAATTGGGTGTTCCATTTAAGAAAAATGTGTGTTTTATTCGTTATGCTTTTTTGAGACACCCTGTATACTTTAAAACAATTTTAAATTGTGCATCGTAACAATATTTATAACTTTTGTATTTACCATTTTCTCATAAATTTTGAAACCAATGAGACAGTGAAGTTTACTCTACCGTTGGCTTACCCTGTACAAGATTTGTTTGGCTGTCACGAATCATATTTAAAAGGGTATCGATTACGGATCGGGAAAAAATGGAGGCAATTTAAGATGTCGGCACTTTTTTGACAATTTGTGATCCCTCTAATGACAAGTGATTTCGACTATAGGGATGAAGGTCGTGATTGCTTTTTGAGGGACGATCCATCAAAAGCCAACCCTCTTTGAAACATACTTTACGAGAGGCATGAGCGTTCTCAATCCGTAAACCCAGAATCAAAAAATTTCATTTTATTTACTGAAAAATGAAACCCGCCCAAATATTAATCTCGCAGTCAATCCATTTTTCCGTCATGATTGTTTACACGGTCGCTTTTGTGCAATCGTTCGCTTTGAAACGGGCCCGCCGTTCGTACCGCAACTACAATAGGCCTGACGAAGACAATTTCAGATCGCGCTACTTCTACTTCTACGGACGACTCTCCCGCCGTCAATATGGTAAAACGCGACTTTATGTTATTAAAAGCGCTGCACCGTTGCTTCTGGTTGGAGTTCTACAGCGTCGGCATCCTTAAATTCTTCGCGGATTGCGCTGGCTTCGCGGGACCGATGCTTTTAAACAGATTGATAAATTTTATTGAGGATAAGTCCGAAGATATGAAATGGGGTTATGTTTATGCGAGTGGTTTGATGGCTACCACCATGATAAGTAAGTTTTTATACTCGCGTGCTTACCTTTTTGATGATGGTATTGATTTTGTGTTACCTCCAAACCCACCAGCGAGAGTTAGGAGCCTTCCAATAACAACAGACATATGAGAAAGTTAAAATATTAGGTTTGAAGAAAACACCACACCATGTTCGAGCTTAGAAATATCGCCGTGTAATAATTTGAAATGGCAGTTTTAGGTTGTTGTTGCAATTGAGAGTTTGAAACGTATTTGGAAGTTGCTCCTACAAGACGCAGGTTTCGCAGGTCTTAATAAAATTAATGTAATTAAATTATTTTACCTTTCAAGTTGTGGTGGAAATATGATGAAAATCTGAACGAACGTTCAATGTTTTAAGGAATGTTTTATAAAATAAAAATTACAAATCAATTAATAAAATTATCCACCATCTTATTTGAACTGATATGGCTTTCACTTGATGAAAATCCATTTATCAAAATAAATTATAACTAAACGTTCAGATTTTCACGAAATTATATATTTTGACATGACAATTGTTTCGACAACACCTTGTCTTTATCATATGTACATTTGATAAAGACACGGTGTTGTCGAAACATGTGTCATGTCAAAATATATAATTTCGTGAAAATCTGAACTTTTAGTTCTTATTTATTTTGACCATCTTATTTGTTTAAAGTTTTCATTATAAACTTACGAAAGGCGAAGTTTTGTCTTACGACTACTCATGTGTAACATGTGTAATATCTTACTATATATAGTACTTGGTACTTTTAAAATTTTTGGAGTTATAGGAACTAAACTAATAGAAAAACAATGTTTTTCTGTTTCTATCGCTCAACATTTTCAAATATTTTTTTTCAGATGTCATATTTATCGTTTTAAAAATAGGAACATTACATAACATTCTAAAAGTTTACTACTGCTACTGCACTGGCATACATTTTGCATACATTTACAGGATATTAACGGAGAATTGCCGGAAGTAAAATATAGTTTCCGGGATTCTCTAATATGTAGTCCAAACATTGCCTCGTCGGGTTGTGGCGGTATGTCTTGAAGAAAGCCCGTTTCCGGTGTAATTGCCTTTGTTCTTGGCAGTCGTTTAGTGAGGTTAGTGAGCATTGTGTAATTAAATTTGTAAACATACTGCAGATACGTTCTGATATGTGTGTAGTTCTATTGTGGTCAAGAAATTTAGACTTCAATTTACACTCCTGTTTAAAAAACAATACTACGTTTGTTTTAAAATAAAAATTGGTGATCAAGACAATCCTTAAGCGGCACATATTGTTTGTAAGGTGTGTGAAGAAGGTTAACCACATTGGAAAAATGGAACCAGGCGATCCCTAGCTTTCGGAATGCCTATGTTATGGAGCGAGCCAAGAGGTCACCGTAATGACTGCTATGCTATTTCTGCATGTGCAGTGTTCGTGTATGTAATACTAAACTAAAATACTAACCTCACTTAGGCCAGTGCCACATGACCCGGATGCACCAGTACCTGAAAATTTGGCTAATTTAAAAGAAGATACTACCAGTTTTTCTAAATCTGGAAGATATGAACATACCCTTAGTGATGTTGATGAAATATGGAGTGAGTCTCAGCAATTCATGGCTTAGTGAGAGACGTAGATTAATGTTTCCGAAATCTTAACATCTAGACTTCGAAATAAAAATTTACTGGCACAAAACGTTCTCATAATTCAAGAAGCGCGAGACAGAATTTATACGCTATTTTGAACCAAGTTTTATCGCACTAACTGACTTGATACAGACTACGAGCCTCAGGGCTGGACTCTTTTTATTGACTCATCCACGAGAAGCCTTAAATCTGTTCTTTTGCTCAACGGGAATGTTGCTTCGGTATCTGTTGCTCATTCAGTGCAAATGAAAGAATGCTATGAAAACTTGGAGCTACCGCTTGAGAAAATCAACTACAAACTAAAGTCGTGCTATGATTTGTGGTGACTTAAACATTCTAGTAGGTCAGCAGTCAGGATATACGAAGTATCCCTGTTTTTTGTGTGAGTGGGAAAGTAAAAGCAGACAGCAACATTGGGTGAAAAAGAACTGTCCAAAAATGGTTAACTCTTGAATCAAGAAATATTCTTCACTATAGTCTTATTGATCCACGAAATATTCTCTTGCCACCGTTGCATATTTAATTAGATCTTATGAAGCAGTACTTTAAAGCATTAAATAAAGATCCGCTCCTTCAGATGTAAAATTAAAGGATGGAATTTTTGTAGCACCTCAAATAAGGAATGGAAGATTAAGACTTTGTGAATACTATCATCAAATCTGAAAAGGTGGCATGGGTTTCATTTACTGATGTTATGAAAGGTTTTTTAGGAACCAAGAAATATCCAAATTACAAAGGCATTGTAGAAAACATTTCAGCAAAATTTAAGGAAATGGGATGCAATATGAGTATAAAACTACACTTTTTACACTCACGTTTGGCCTACTGTTCGTGTTTTTTTGCGCTGTGATGGTCAAGATAGTAGATACTAGTGTAGCAAAGTACGGACAAACACCGCCAGAAGATAATGTTAAATTTTTTCAGTTCGAAGTTAATCAATGGAGTTTATTTTTTGGGACCCTCTATCATATTTTCGAAGCCTAAAAATAAACCTACACCAAGCATTTTGAAGCTTTTGTAACCGATTCTTAGTAAAAGGCAAGAGAAATACACTCTATTGGCATAATTTAATAATGACTGGACTAAGGATTCACATAATTTTTTTACGAAATTGCTTATGTTTTTATATAAGGCCCGTAGAAATATGCCTTTTGCAATTGCCATGAAACATGGTCTCTGAAGCGTAGTCCATCTATAAATAGTGGAAGGTTATTATTTAGGAAAACATTTTTTTTTAATTTAATTTTTAGATCATTTTGTGAGACATAGTTATTAGTTATTTAAAAATAATTAGTTATTTTTAAACAAGCCTGTTGAATGTATCCAGTGTCGAACTAATTTAGCAGCTAAGTGTCGTCTGCAAATACTTGAATTAGACCGGTCACATCAGCTCTGAAAAAATCTGCTGTGAAATACATAAAGAGAATGACAAGGTAAGACGAACCCATAGCAACCGAGCTTGGCACAAAAAAGTGCGGGGTCTAGGGTGCCAAAAGCTTTGGAGAGGCCAACAATACTTGAGCCACTGACAGTTCATTGTCAAGCGCTGATATAATTTCGTTGGTAATGGTGGCAAAAGTTCTTGCGAAACCGTCACTGCAAATCTGCAGTACTCAGATAACTGGGGCTGAATAACCATTTCCAGTACTTTGACCAGTATTGGACTCAGATATATTGGTCTTAAATCACTATCCGATTTGGGTTGAAGATAGCTTCCACTGTAGGGGAAATAGGTGTATTCTATATAACAATTCACAATATGTTTTTAAAAATCCCAGAACAAAAGAGCTTCAGCATAAGCGCGGACACGTCATTACTTCCATTGTACTTTAATTGTGACATACAAGAAAAAGACAAATGATTACTAAATTTGGAACTATGTTTTAAAGAATGTTTTATAAAATAAAAATCTTATCTTATTTGTTTAAAGTTTTTATTATAAACTTACGAAAAGCGAAGTTTAGTCTTACGACTACCCATGTGTACCATGTGTAATATCTTACTATATATAGTACTTGGTACTTTTAAAATTTTTGATGTTATAGGAACTAAATTAATAGAAAAATTATGTTTTTGTGTTTCTATCGCTCAACATTTTTAAATAAATTTTCTACAAATTTAAATTGCATTTAATAACAATGTTAGCACAATTGCAATAGTGATCTATAGCAGGAATCGCTTCTTGAAACATCCTGGAATAATAGTAGTACAGATATAAACATATTGGCTGGTACCTTTGTAGATAGTATATCTAATATAATACACAAAAAGTGCCAAAAAATAAAAATAATATAATTGATATTATATCAACTTATGGAGAAATAAATCAGCTTAACACTTTAACTATGCAGGACCTGAAAAAGATAATAACAGAATTAAAAAATGTGACTGCTAATAAGTGGATGCCTGTGCAGTAGCTGGAAATCGATTGCTGAACATTGTAAACACCTGCCTTACGAGTGCAAATTTTTTCGGAGGCATGGAAGACATCAATTGTAATACAGAAGGTTCCCAATATCAATCGAAGTCAATACCGGTCCAGTTTTTTAGTTCCTAACCAGTCAGGTTTCGCTCTGTCTGTGATGGTTTCTTGCGGGCCATGGAATACATAAATGAAGTAAATAAAATTGTACAAAATGAGTATTAAGGTAACAGCCTATAAATGGCTTTGTTCGTATTTAGTACATAGGGTACAAAAACGAAATATAAAGATCGTATATCTGATATTTTAGATAAAACGGTACTATTTGCCGATGACACAATGATTTCTATTGTGGGTGAGAATATGGATGAAATTCAACAAAAAAAGAATACAGATCTGAATGTCTGTGCAATACTAAACAGTGACAAGTCAAATTTTTGAAATTTTATACATATGGCGATTACATAAAGAATACATTTTGTAAAAATATTAATTTTATAGGTAGAATGGACAAAATTTTGTCAATTGACAACAAAATCTTATTGTATAAAAGCCTAGCTGCTCCCCATTTAAAATTTTGTTCCCCACTTTGTTCAATTTGCCAAATTATAAATTAGAGCAATTGCAATTATTATCTGTTCAAAAAGAAATCTTATCCCCAATATTACTGAGACAGTATATAGAAAGGAGGCCAGTCTACTAACTGAAGATCTACTGAGGACTGTTGATTATTAAATTCTTTGAAATTTCTGTATGGGACAAACTTAGGGGGTGTCTCATCAATTTATATTTTAAAATCACAGAAAATACCTTGATGATCTGATATCGCTTCTGCATTTTTGAAGAACAAATGTTGAACCAGAATAGACTCGTTAATGGTTCACTTCCTCCGTGAACCCATCGATGAGAAAACTGTTCGTGTAAATATTGGCCCACTGGCAACGCAAAAT